AAACAATAAGCACATCAGCAAAGAGGAAGAGCAGGAGGAGGAGGTGGACAACATAAAAAAGACAATGATGATGACGATGACGATTTTTTCGTGGGGAGGGGGTAGAGGGGTATTCTAAAAAGAATATCTTCAAATACCAAATAAATGCCTTAATTAGCACTCACGGAGCAAGTATCACGAACGAACGAAGAGCAAACACACAAAAGGTGGAAGAATCAGCACATTGTCATCCAATACGCCTACGTTGCTCCTAAAACGTCTCGTTTCTCTGCTCTGCTCTGCTCTGCTCTGCTCTGCTCTGCTCTCGAGAACAAAGAACATCTGAGACACTTTAGTGCAGTCGTTGACAAGGTATTTGCAGTGCCAACGACCTCTTAGGTGGAGGACATACGGAAGTTACAGGTTTGCAGTCCCCTGCGCTTTGGTGCAGCAGTGAACGTGTGACGAACGGACGGACGGACGGACGGACGAGGAGAGAGTTGTTGTCTGGGATTGGTGGCTCGGCCAGTGAGTGAGTGAGTGAGTGAGTGAGCTTGGCGTAACGAACCGGACGTGTTTCGGCTCTTGCCTGCACGCGAGTTGGATAGCTGGCTGCTTTGTGAGTGAGTGAGCACTTTGGTGACGGTAGATACAGGGGCGTTGCGGGCAGAAGGGGAAGGGTGAACTTTTGTTGATGAGTGAATGGGGGTGTGACGGCCGGGGGGGAGGGGTGACACAGAGACAAAGAGAGGGATAGATAGATATATCGAGAGAGAGAGAGAGAGAGAAAGAGAGAGAGGGAGAGAATAGGAAAAAGGGATAGAGAGAAAGAGAGAGAAGGATTGGGAGAAGGAAACTTTGGACGACGAGTGAATGATAAGGAGAGGGGTGGGGGCACAAAAACCACTAATAAAGGCCATTAAGTAGCTAAAGAAACGCGACAAAGATACACAGAAACTGGCCTTGGTCCTTCCAGTGGAGCCTTCAGGCAACCCAGAGAGAGAGAGAGAGAGAGAGAGAGAGAGAGAGAGAGAGAGGAAGACAGTGAGACGGCGAGAGAGAGATAGGGGGGGGATAGATAGATAGATAGATAGACAGAAAATGTGTGGGTATGTGTGGATCTATGCATGCATGTGTTTCTGTGTATGTGTGTGCTTGAATGTGTGTTTGCACGTTTGTGTGTGTGTGTGAGCGCGTGCATGAAAATTGTTATACTTTTTTAAAGTGCAGTAATATTTATTATTTGAATTTTTATTTTAATGATACCTATTTATTTGTTCCCTGTGGAAAGGCCTGGACTTACCTTTTGTTGTGGTCAGAAACGGAGACGTTGATAATGACGAGCTCATGGATGTCCTATTTTCTTTGGCTACTTTTAATTCCTTATCCCGAGGTTGGAAGTCGAGTCCAAGCGCCACTGAGGAGTCGAAAATTTTAAATAGCTGAGAGTCACTCACTCCAGAGGTATAAAATATGTCAAATGGCCAGAAAGAGGGAACTGGCTCACTGTCCAAGCGTGTTAAGGGGGGGGGGGGTTTACACCTGAAGGCTATCTCGTTTATTACTGGACAAAATTTTACCAAATTTCACAAATATAACAAGCATAGTAAGGAGTCTTAAAATCCGCTATCAAATTTGAGAAAAAAGTTTCGTTTCCATGGATACGGCGGCGATATTGGATTTGTTGACATGTCTTACGTAATGAATACCGCATTTATTGCTCTTGGAAATTGATTGGGGTTTTTTTGTATGCGTGTTAACAAACATTAGATCTAAAAAACTACTTTTTGTTTTTTTCCTAAACGAATTAAAACATTTTTAATGAATGTTTTCCTTAGGTAGCATTGGATTTTGCAAAAAAATTCGAAAAAATCCACCCTCCAGACACCACCAACAAAAGTCTATTCAATATATAAAAAATTCAACAGACAAATGTTTAGTATTACATCTTCTCTTCATTTTGTGGAAATTTCATGAAGATTGGATAAAAAATGGTGGAGTTATTAAAAAACGTATGGAGAAAAGTCGCGTTCTGAGAAAACAGCCGATAAAGAAAAACAAATATTGACTTTATGAGGAAATGGTGGTGACAAACATGCCCGAAGGGAAAAAATACGGTTTTGGGGGGTTCTTAAGCAATGAAACAGTTGTAGGAGAGGCTGAGGAAGCTAAAAATACCTGCTACTCAAATTCCATAATTCTGAGCCGAATCGGGACTTTAGGGGTGACTCTTTCTGCAGCCTTTCTACTGCTTCTCCTTGGCCCCTTCTTACTACTATCTGTCAGCCAAACCCCTGATCTTATGGTAGGTAAGATCTACGCTTAGCCTTCTCGGACAAGGGTGCAAAATCTCGGAGGTCCCTTGAGCAAGATGCGCACGTTAAAGATCACTTGGTGGTCCAGAATCGATAAGAGTAGGCCTCCGTCGCCACCCGGGCAAAAATTCAAAATTTCCTACCAATTGAAAATTTTTGGTGTGTCCCGGGCGCTCATATGACCTTATACAATTGCGAGCGCCATAGGACACTTACAAAAAAAGACCCTAGTTTTATGGGGAAAAGGGCTAAAATGAATTGTTCGACAAATCGTCTCATGTCCATGACCAGTGCTTGCCAACTTGGGAGGTAGAGTCCTCTAGAGAGAGATTTGGTTGTTTTTGGTAGGCGTTGGGGACCACTAGGGTAGAAACAGTTATTATTTGATATTCCACTAGGGAATACGAGAAAGCCTAGGTGGGTAGTACAAAAATGTTTGCTTTATAAAGGTGGCCAGAAAAAAAAAGGGTTGGGGTGGGGTGGAAGCTGGCTATATAAAGACTGACAAGTACTGCTTTAGACTTTTCGCTACCCTAGATTTATAAGGTTACATCTGCTCAGCTCTCAGTTTTGAGAAATGTGACTATAACATGGTTGAGTTTAACAACGAGTCAAGCTTTTTCCAGTTCAACTATTTGAAAATAATAATCTAGGTAACGACTTCGAATAATCTTACGATTTTGATTGGGACGATAAATTATTTGGTTTCTATCTAACATTATGTTCTTAGTAGCTCGAAAAGTTCAAAATATTAGAAAGAACTTTGTAATTGTGAGACAGGAATTTGAGCCACTTTCCCAAAATAACCGGCGAGTGAGCGGCACATGTTTCTCGTCTACGGATTTCTCACCACCGACATATTATGACGTCTTTTTTCATGCTCCCCATTCATCTATAGTCTGTGGCCGTCTTTGCTTTCAAGATAAATTTGTTCTAGTGTCAGTTCCCAGGTATTTTAGCCCACTATGTCAAAAAAACATATTGACTAATGCCAGTAAACCTGACCCTGTTGAAGACCAAAAGAAAAGACAAAAATCACAAAAGCAAACTACCCATTGTTTAAACAATCCAAATTTCGGGCATTTTCAGAAATCTTGACTTACACCAAAAGTGGTATTGCCCTACCTATAGGAGAGGTTTGGTTTCATAATTTGTGTCTATTTTTGTTTGGTTATAGAGAAAACTCTCCATTTCTGTTTTAAGAAACTGAACAAGGGGCAAAAACTTTACCTTCGATTTTCTCAGAACAGCATTTTGTGGGACTGCCCCCTTGAGCTTAAAAGTGACCATATAACTAGCTGAGTACCCGTTCATGAACCGACTAAAAAGAATCGATCATCAAGTCATTACAATGGGGTGTTAGAAGACGGACTTTCCCCACGATTATATCTAAACAAAACTAATGAAAAACTGAAAATTAAACTACAGTGACTTCAGACTCCTTAATATATCTGTGTACCCTCTAAATGATTCTGAACCACTTTTTTTTATTTGAAAGTTAAATGGTTCGGAAGTTTTAGGTGACCAGAGTGGCGAAATTTTGAAACATAATATAGATCTATAACAGTATAAGTTAGAAGTGCCCCCCCCCTCCCCCCAAAAAAAATCTTAATTAAAAGCGTTTTTCACGAATGATGTCAAAGCAACCTAGATGAAGCCTAACTGGGAGAGGAAACCCAGAGAGCTTAATTGTGTATATACAATATATTTTAAAGTTATTTTGACTAATGAATAGGCCAACACACGAAAAACAGTATAGGTTGCAATGAGTGCAGTGGGAATACATGTCGTATATTGTTTTCGGGTTCTATAGTTCTCGTTTTCTGAACCTAAAATCAGTTGGGCTGTATAATTTCCCTTGAACTCGTGGATAGGGTCTAAGTTGCTCCTTTCTCTTATTTTTTTCCCAGTTCGCCATTGAGGTGATCTTTTTAATGGTGTCCTGCCCAACCGAGTCTTTGATTGCGTGGTTGTTGTTAAATAGATTGTTTTCTTTTCCTCGTTGTTTTTGTTTTGTCTTGTTTTGAGTTTTTTTTTAGCTCACTTAATTTTATCAACGTGCCCTGTCCTCTGTGTCTGACCCACATTCCTACAAATGAACCCAATGAATGGTAGACCTAGGAGGGCGTCCATGATAGGCTATACTTCTTTTCTTTCCCTCTGGTATTTGTGTCTGAACATCCGGGTCTGTGTGACTGTGTGTCTGTATGTGTGTCTGTCTGCCTGTCTGTCTGTCTGTCTGTCTGTCTCTGTCTGTCTGTCTGTCTGTCTGTCTGTCTCCTGTCGGCTTGTGCCTGCCTGTCAGTGTGTCTGTCTATCTGTTTGCCTTATTTTTACTTGCGCAGAATTTCTGTTATTTAGTCGATGCGCTTCTCTTTACTCAAGCAAAATGCAACCTACAAAAGAAATTGTTGGAATATTTAATATTTGAATCACTTATAATATGGACTCGGGAATTTTGAAGTTTTGATCATGTGGAAACGGCTTAGCCTGGTGGAGAAGGAGAAAGGTTTTTTGTCCTATTAGCTTAAGAAATACAACTATTTTCTTGTCAGCTTCACGGGCATCATAGTGTTCTATTTAGATCACGCCCTCTCAATAGAATGAAGTCGAATGGATGCTTGTGTCTAGTCCATGCATGCTTCCAGGATATTGCTTGTCATACCTTTGGCTTGAAAGAGATCTTCGTGATGCACAGATTACCGTTTGTGTTGAGTTTAGACGATAGTGTCTATTTGTGATCACACAAGAAATGTTTGTTTTTCTTATGTTATTGTTAACTTGGAGGTCCCATCAATTTAATGATCTAAATAGCTTTGATAGGGGCGTTAAACCTATACC